AGTGGTGAAACTGTGGTAAGGTGAACACTTGTAGACATAGTAAACATTACTAGCAGTGGTGAAACTGTGGTAAGGTGAACACTTGTATACATAGTAAACATTACTAGCATTGGTGAAACTGTGGTAGGGTGAACACTTGTACACATAGTAAACATTACTAGCAGTGGTGAAACTGTGGTAGGGTGAACACTTGTATACATAGTAAACATTACTAGCATTGGTGAAACTGTGGTAGGGTGAACACTTGTACACATAGTAAACATTACTAGCATTATTGAAACTGTGGTAGGGTGAACACTTGGACACAGCTTAAACATGCTTAGCAGTGCCTTGTTGATAAATTGCTTAGAAAACAAAAACAGTCCTGAGGCTTATAGGTTGTTAACTTCTTTTATTCACCAAATCGTGCACTAAAATGAAGAAAATGTAAGATATAGGCCTAGTCTATTATTCTATTCGCAACAGCAGAGTAGTGTCACGTAATTCAATGATCAGCAGTAAGTTAGGCCTACTTTATTTATTTATTTCCTTTGCTTTGGTGGTGTACGATTACTTATCACATAATATCAAGTGTTTATAGGTATACGTATGATGTTGTATGATTACTTATCACGTAATATCAAGTGTTTATAGGTATAAGTATGGTGGTGTATGATTACTTATCACATAATATCAAGTGTTTTAAGTTCTCACATTGTAAGAAGTACACAATTATGTGTGAACTTCTTTACAAATTAATGGGTATCACTTATGTTTTGTTCGATTAACTACAAAACTACTCATTACATACCTGTTTCTCACAACTTCTACATAATACCACACTTGTCGAGGCTTAGTTTGTTTCATACGTGAGCTTAACAGTTCTGACGGAGTTAAAAACTGAATATAAGACTTATCGGCAGATAGATATGCGTAGAATAAAATATTACACCCCTCGTAAACAGTAAGGTGTAAGATATATTTTATTTATCAAATTTAAATTTGTTTTAACATCAGTATTTTAAAAGTAACTTTGAGATTACATTTATAAAAAATATTTGTTGCTTCCTTACCAATAATTAGTTAAAAAATACTTTAAGAAAATTCGCCACATCTGAGCTGCAGTGTTAAATATAACAACTATCAGTTGTCCGTTTTCGTCTCACAGAATGCTGTCCAGGTAGAAGATGAAGCCAAACTGATTCAGATTCGTGATGTCGTACAGCAACTCCCCCCTCCTCATTATCGCACGTTGGAATATCTGATGAGACATTTAGCCAAGATTGCTTCGTGGGGAAGCCAGACTGGGATGACTCCCAAAAACGTTGCAATTGTCTGGGCACCCAATTTACTTAGGTATGTTAGTACAGTGGAGTACAAAGATTATTAAATGTGCAGGTGGAATGTTTTGATCTCAACTTATTTGTTGTTGTTTAAAGATTTATTGTTATCCCTAGCACGTGAAATTGCTTGATTTTTAGATGTTTGTAGTACAGTAGTGTAGTTATTTAAGTGAAAAGGTGCACATGGATCACTGGTCTCGTGTATATTAGTTTGTTTTTTTTATTCTACGAGTTTTTGTTCTCAAACTAAGATAAGTTGAACAATAGTTTTTACTTCTGATGCCTTGACAACATAAAAATTGTTTCACAGACTTTCTTATTGTTAATTCTAGGTCAAAAGAAATGGAAGGAGGGGGAGGAGCTTGTGCCCTTCACGTGGTTGGAGTTCAGGCAGTTTTAACGGAATATCTCATCAGATATGTAGAGATTATTTTCAGTGGAAAACGTCCATCTTTCCAAGAACAACCAGAAGGTTTGTAGCTTCGAAATAAATATACATAATACACGATAGAAAACCATTACAAAATTATGCTGTGTGTGTGTGTGATTTATTCAGATAAAACACACATTTACAGCATTGTTTATCGTGCCTCAAAATATACATATTTCTTTTCTAACCTGTGCTGCTGTTGTTTGAACATCAACATCAGTCTGTGTTTCTTAACTAACTTAAAGAAAGCTGTTATCACAATATTGGTTTCATTGTTTAACCAAATTATTATCTTAAAAAAAAAACTTGGAAAAAGGTGTTGTTTTTCAACACATTTTAAGTTTGAATATCTTTATTTTTAGAAGCGCCACGAAGACCACGACGACCAAAATCATTAGCTATTTCTTCTCCTACCAAACTTCTGTCTTTGGAGGAAGCTCGAACAAGGGTCCTGGCTGCCAATATCCTTGGAACGGAGCAGAAGTACATAGACGTTGGGGGAGGACCAGAAAAGTTGCCTGTAAAATATCACACGGTGATAGAGTTACCCTCAAGGTATAAAAACCTCTCCTAAATTCATGCTGTGCAATGTATTTAAAATAGGTTTCTCGTTAAAATTAAACACAACAGTAAACGAATACTGGATTAGTCAGCATCATGGTGTATTTGTTACATTTCTTAACTGTTGATTTTCAGTTGTTTATTACAAATACTCCGATTTTATATGTCATAAGTAGCTTGGAAGCTTCAGGTTAGTCCTAGTTATTAACGTGAGTTCATCACGTTTTGATACAAAACATATCAGTTTCAATTTCAATAAAACCACAAAACTCTCCGTCAGCTACCTGCTTGAGCTTTACGTCAACTTTGGTTGTCTTTTCTTTCATTACTAGTATACGTAGTAACAAATATAAACCAAAGTCGAGGACATTTTGTGTAAAATTGATTATCAAGCTTAAAAGCCGTATTTTGGAAAACGTGAATACTTTTTATGTGAATACCGTTTAATAAGATTTCAAAGTTTCAGGGTTAATAAGTTACCACATATTTATATCAGAAAAGTCCTAATATACCTATAATTATATTCACTCAGCAAGCGTAGTGGCACCAAATTGAAAAAATCTCCTTCGGGGTGGAAGTCGTTCTTTTCTCGAGGCTGGCAATCTGGTAGTACACGAGAAAAAGACTGTGGTCGAAGAGGGTCTCTCAAACTACGTAAAGGAAGCACTGGCTCACTTCAGCACGCTCAGTTTCCACTGCAGGTTCGTTACAGTGTTTGTTCGGATGACTTCGCTTCTATGACTCGAAAATTAGATTAGTTTATAGAATTTAATAAAACATTTACAAAAATAAGCATGTTTTATGTACACTGTGATGTCTTGTGATCCAGCCTCGTTTAATTTCTGGGTAATTCGTCGACACTTTAAGAAAAAAATGTACTGTGTCATGTTAAAAGTTATTTCCAGTCTGAAAGAGTAACACCGCTAAGTAATGGTCTTCAAGTACAGCATAGCTGTGAACTAAGATCACAACTGTCAGCTTATTGTTGTTTTTTTCTCTAGTTAGTGGGAAACATACCATGACGTCATTAGCTGGAATAGTTTTGAAAGCTAAATATAATGTCATGATGTCGTTTCTGAAAACTTGGAAGTTCCTTCATGGGGTTGGTTAAAACATAACTTGGTTATGGACAAGTTCTGACCCACTTCTTGTTGAGGAGATCAAAGCTGACCATGACCTGTCTTACCGACCACAAGAAGGAACACACAAGTATCTCTCATAACAACATTCAAGTTTCAACTTGTTGTCTAACATTTTATTAATCTGTAAAACGTAAATGTCTTTTACCTTTGATTTTTAGATATACTGAAAGTGTGTTTTACATTTTGGAAACAGGAAAAAGTCATCACGGAAGCAGATTTAATTCACACTCGACGGATAAAGTTGAGAACAGTAAAAAGTGCAGAATCTCTGGTCTCGTGCGATACGTCATGTCGGAGCTCTTCTGCGTTCGAATCCACAGGCCCGACCGGTACAATAGTCATTCATGTTTTTTTTATCATTGTGATTAAATGTCTATGCTGTGAAAACATTAACCTGTAACCATCATTCATGTTTTTTATTATTGTGACTAAATGTCTATGCTGTGTAAACATTAACCTGTAACCATCATTCATGTTTTTTTATCATTGTGATTAAATGTCTATGCTGTGAAAACATTAACCTGTAACCATTATTCATGTTTTTTATCATTGTGGTTAAATGTCTATGCTGTGAAAACATTAACCTGTAACCATTAAATCTTTTTAATCAAAGAAATTATTTATAAAAAAAATTCATGCTGTTGCTTCCCCACCTTTGAAATGTAGAGAAATTTGTTTATGGTGCAGTCAGTTAACATGTTAAGAAGGCCTCGGTAAAGATAAAAATCTACCACGGTTATTAGAGATTAAGTCACTGTGTAAAATGTTATACAGTTCTGTAGTGGAGTCAAGTCTAAAACTTAACACTTATTTTAAGAGTAAAGATCTGTGGAGGTGATTTTAAAAAATTACTATTGATTTTTTCAGAAGGAAGTCAAAATAATGAAGCCGGCCAGTCTAGCCTTCTTGAAGAAGACTTTTCTTCCCATTCTCAAAGCCTGAACAACCATGTTCGTTCTTCTTCTCACGAGTCTTATTTTGACCTAAGTTCAAAAGAAGAAAGTCCTCCAGGAGACACTGCTATGGATGATAAAAGTTCAGTTCAAGCCAGTCTTCAGACTGTTAAAAAGTCACCCGAGAGTGACGATTCCTTCGCCTCATTTGAACACATATTTGAAAGTTTTATGGATAGTGATACTATTGCTTCTTTTGATGGTTCGTGGACAAACTTTTCTCAAGACGATACAAAACATTTATCATCCGATTCCAATAAAATGACACGTAAACAGAAACTAAGAAGTTCCGACAGTGACGTGTCAAGTCCTAAAGTCCAGAAACTAAGTTTGAGACATTTTCGTCAAGCCTTTAGTTCACCTTCATTTAGCTCTCCTAACGAAACACATAAACGTTCAGAATGGACTTTGTTTGTTAAAGAAAAAGATCGAGACGCACTGCGAGGAAGTTTCCATCGAACAAGAGAAAAAATCGTTCATGTTTTGACACCCGATTCTGTACAAAAGAAATTGTTTTCTTTGTTGGAGGATAAGCAAGCTTCTTTGAAAAACGATAAATCTCGGTCAGATATTATGCTTCATCCTTTTCCACCCGTTCACTTGGAGTCAGACACCGAAAACTTACCTAGCAGAAAAGTGAAATCGTCATCTGACCTTCGAATTTCTGCCTTATCATGCTGTAGTGATACGTTAAGTACTCATTATTGTGGTGATATTTTACCTCAAGAGCTTATCACAGCCGAAAAATCAGATATGCACATCTTTGATTTATGCTTTCATGATAATGACAGTGAGACAGAAGATGACTGTGTTAAGGTTGTTGATGAAATGTTACAAGCAGTAGCTAAAAAAATAGAAGAAGAAACCTGTGGAGCCAAACTGATTATAGAAGATGGTGTCCCTGAAGAAAACTGTGGAGCCAAACTCATTATAGAAGATGGTGTCCCTGAAGAAAACTGTGGAGCCAAACTCATCATAGAAGACGGTGTCCCTGAAGAAAACTGTGGAGCCGAACTGATTATAGAAGACGGTGTCCCTGAAGAAAACTGTGGAGCCAAACTCATTATAGAAGACGGTGTCCCTGAAGAAAACTGTGGAGCCAAACTCATTATAGAAGATGGTGTCCCTGAAGAAAACTGTGGAGCCAAACTCATCATAGAAGATGGTGTCCCTGAAGAAAACTGTGGAGCCGAACTGATTATAGAAGATGGTGTCCCTGAAGAAAACTGTGGAGCCGAACTCATCATAGAAGACGGTGTCCCTGAAGAAAACTGTGGAGCCAAACTCATCATAGAAGACGGTGTCCCTGAAGAAAACTGTGGAGCCGAACTGATTATAGAAGACTGTGTCCCTGTTGAAGAACAACTTAACTGTGTTCCATCCTCCGCTGGCCAAAGTGGAAAGATTCTGTGGACAGAAGATGAAAATCAAAAATCAACTAAGAGTTTGACCACAACAAGAGATGAAAGTTATAATTGCTCAGGTATGCAGATATATTCTATAAATGAAGTCTGCTCATTTGATAGTGAATTAGAAGAATTAAACTCTTCCATTTCTCACTGTGATGAGGATAGTAAGGCGCTCGTGGAAGAAACTACAAATACACAGAAGAGTTTCAACCAATCTGACATAATGACATCTGCAAAAGATGATGTCTTCTGTGCTATAAAGCAAGAATTAAACATCTTACCCCAGCATATTCCATTCTCTAAGCAACAAGATACATCCCGAGAATTCCCAGAATCAAGACTACCTGAACAGCGCACGTCTCTCAGTCGTACAACTGAAAGTTTCCTCATCCCACAGCTAGAGGACATGGAGAGTGAAACTTTGGATGAGGAAGGTGGAAATGAATTAAATGATTTATCAAAGAAATATAAAGGATTTCGTATAGAAGATGACTTTAGCCAAGGTTCTCCAGATGTATTTGTAGACGTTATTTGTGATCCAGTTCCATCGGAACAGAAACGGTCCAATGAAAAGCTTAGAAAATCTTTAATAATACAAAATGGCCGACTTTACCGTACCATTGAAAAAGATGGTGATTCTGATAAGAGTCTAAAAGTACACTCGTTGCCCGACTCCCAAAATGGTAAAGATGCTGCATCTGTTGCGCCCCTTAATTACCCGAAATTTCAGAGAGTTTGTGATGCATTAAACAGGAAAAGTTTTCTTGACATAACTGAGCAAAACAGTAAGAAAGATGTTCCATTAGATTACAACAGAAGTTCTCCTACATGTAAGTCTTCTCAACCTAGTCTGTTTACACAGCTCAAGGTACTGAAACTCCAAGCCTTCCAATCACCAGAAATGTCTAAAGAATCAATTCCCTATGATCCATGGTCGGATCCAATATTGGACAGTGTGGTTGACCCACAAGACATTTGGGAAAAGCAAATTTTTTCTTCGTCTTCCACACCTTCACCATCTCAAGATGACATCGGTGAACAACCATTAGATATTTCTAAAGTTAATATAAATACGACTCGCGATCACAGAGATCAAGAATTGTCATTACAGCTAAGAATGGATGCTTCTACATCCAAAGAAGAAGAGGAAACCCTAGAAAGGTTTCCTAAGACAAGCACACCGATGTTACTTCCAGCTGAATATCTTTTAAGTTCTCCCATACAAAGTGTGAAGTCTCCGAATATGACTTCAGTCAAAAGTTTAATTTCTTTTGACGAAAATGATAGAAGGGAAAGAATTGACCGCTACAAAGAAGAACGGAGGGCCCAGCTTAGGGAAAGATGGAAATCTGAAAGTTTTAAAAAGGAAACTCCAGACAAGAAACACGTGGGAACACGGTGGAGGTCGAGCGTTCCACTTTCAAGAACAGTGGCTAGTTTGAAAGATCAAGAGTCCATCAAAGATAAAAAAGAACAAAGTCACAGTTCAGGAAACTTAAGTGACCCGTCACTAGGTCAGGACATGAAGGAAGGATCCGATGATGGTAGAAAGCACAGCCATATGGAGAGACTCGCCTGTCGGTCTAAAGGTCGGACTGGAATAGAGGAACAAAACACATCATCGTGGCTTACTCAGTTACCTGATGAAGAAAAGAGTAACCACGGCTCGGACATCGTGCCAAAATTATCATCAAAAGTAAAAAGTGACTGTGGTTTAGATATTTCGACAGAGGAAAATACACTGTATCAAAGTTATGTACCTAATCAAACTCTTGTGCACAAACACAAGGATTACTGCAGTTTACGACCAGAAACGTCTGTGTAACAGGATTCAGCTCAGTTTAGATTTATAGCAACTTGTGTTGAGTTTAGAAAAAAACTAATTATAATTTCTTTATGAAATCAAGCATAAGCTACGAGAGAAAAATTTATTCTAAAGTTGTGAAATATTAACCGATCCATTTCATGCATTTCTTTTCGGCTCTGGCTGTCATTTCGTACACTTGCATGTTAGTGGTTTGTAGCTCGCAAACGTCAGAGACATTTGATGAATTTACACAATTTTTATATGCGTATTCCAGTTACAGTTTGTTGTTGTTTACAAGAAAGTTGTAATTTGTTTTTATGACTGTTTATTTTTTGTGTAACTATGTATATATAAAACTATTCTATAATACAATTACTAGAAATGTATTTACCACTGCAAAAATTCTAATATTGGTAAGACAGGTTCTGACATAGCCATATTGAAACATAGCTTTTAATTTCTGGAATTACAGAACTCCAAGAATCTATTAACGACTCTTCAACGGATGGATTGTGAATTTTTAGATCGTTTCATCAAAGCACTATTCGAGATGTTTTGCCTCACTGTAGCGATAACTCCTGTTTCAGTTTTAACGATTCATCATAAGTCACTCAAATGTAGGTTGTCAACACTAATATTTTTTTTTACACACTTTATCATTCTTTATTATCTACTGTCCGTTTTCAGTAACTTATAGTATTTTGTATATTTATTGTAAAACACTTGTATATTTTGAGTGTCATATCAAAGGCACTGACAACTCTTGTTAAGAGGCTACAAGATATTTGAATGTGATACGGAGCATGTGGAACTCTCCAACCAGTGAAGTTATTTTACACGAGGTTTCTGTATATATTGCTAGAAAAATTACATACGATTGTTACAATGGCATGTACAGCATTATTAAAGTATTTCCTTTTTCATATTTTAAAGTGTGTTATATTCTTTCCTTTGCTTTAGCTAATGCGATGAAAAGGCAGTGTTCAAAGTGGTACATTTCAAAATACACCCTCGACTAAAAGATACACCAGTAGAACCCGAGCACCTAAAACACTTGGACAAAGACGCATAAACGCAAGTTGAAACTTCGTAGCTCTAAAAAACCATACTTAACATAAATAGAAACTTCTATAACCAAGCTGCTGTCATGAAATAAAGTTAGTTTCCAGAGGAATTTAGAAAGTAAGGTATTCTAAGTGTAAAATAAGTAGACAAATAACAGGTGGTGGTGGTTTTTTCTCTGAAGATCCAACAATAAGTTGACATAAAACTGATTCATTATATGAACATCTTACCAACCCATAACTCGGAAACTTTTCCATCACGAGAAAATTCATTTCTGTGATTTGAATCATTACAAATACAAAGAGTTAATTATTATCATTATAATTTAGCAGTTGTACACAACGCAGTTTAGTCTTGACGTATAACATAAGCAACGAGTCTTATTTCACTCGGATATTTCAGCAGTAACGGCAATTTGGAAACATCTTATGGAATATTAGTAAATTAATAAAAGTCAGACAATGAATACGATCAACTATATATTAATTTATTGTTCCGTATTATCTTGAATAATAAGAGTTTTAACTTCTATAGCAGTTTCTTAGAAACAAGCACTCATCTCGACCTGCTGGATATACATAAAGAAACAAGTAATCCTTCAGATGTCAATTAAGTAATTACCAAGAACAGCAGAAGCACCTTGATACTTCTACTTATAGTCGGGTTAACGTAGAAAAGATCAAGATTTCGGACTAGACGCTAATTTATTCTTTTCATTGTAACGTACCACAGTAAGGAGTGTTCGGGAAACTGTACCACCAAGAACTGTAAAAAATTACCTGTACGTATTAGTAAAAAATAATTTTTACAAAACAGTATAAAGAACGAAACATTTCATATACACAAATATAAATATATTCAACTTAAATATATATGGAACTTGTGTAGCTTATTTGAAGAGCACTAAAATAACAGAAATGTAATGTCTGGCCGTGACTTGACCCATTCAATTTTAGCATACTGAATCATATTATTGTCACGTATGACTGTAAATGCTTGTTACATTGTACCATTACAAACTCACCTATTCAGTTTACAGGTTATCTCTACTTGGAGCCAAAGAACTTTCGACATCCTCGATCTTCATCATCGTGATAAATAAATATAATTGGCTGGAACGGAAAGAGACAGAGAAGACAACTCTATTGAATCTTAGAAATAAAACATTCGTTTTAAACTTTTGTTAACGTACTCGCCCTCACTTAGCAGTTAACTAGTTGTTTCTAAATACTGATATTACCATTACAAGTGGATTAGCTCGTCCAATTCATTGAAGTGTCTGGATGAAGAGTTAGAGGCATGGGTCAGCTTCCTGAGCAGTGTTTAAACATTAAGCTTACCATCAACTTAAATGCAGGCACAGCCACAGTACTCACCAAACTCCTACAGGAGATTCTAAATGTAAGCTTTAGAAAGGAGATCTTTACATAATCCTTATGTATACATTAAACTACATATCTTGAGCAAATGTCATCACCTATAACTCGGCTCTTAATCAAAATATCGTTTGATTCAAGTCGCGGGTGTGAACAACATGTACACTCGCACTTAGTTTTAATAAAGTTTATAGTTTTTGGCCAAAACACGCAAAAAAAAAAAGATCATCTGACTAGCTGAAATAACTTTGAGGAGCCATAGTAGTTATCACCAAGAGTAAGTATATGCAGTTCAATTAAGGCAAACTGGTAAACATTAAGGACATCACATGTTCATACATGCGATGAATTCGTTACAAATTTGATTATATTGCAAACTGTCTCCCGATATCCGTCGCATTTTCAGTCCTCTCTCCGACGGCCCTGACCCATTATAAATTTCAAGTTCTATTTGTACTCCATCTGGATGTTCTAATGCAAAACCTCTTTCGGAGGGTTGGAATACTAGAGATAAACCCTTTGAGCCTAGTTTCTGCTGGACTTGTTCCAGAAGTTCTGTACAGCACACAGTATCATCGATGGACCCAATTGTCACACAGATGTTACCACTTGCAGTTTTCTGAAGCTCCGAAGCACCAACGTCACAAGGTGAAAAACCAGTTGTGAGACTAGAAGAAAGAGCAGCCATGCTACTCTGTGCCGAGTTGTCACTGCCAGGGTGAAGTTTTGATGCACTGTAGTCAGCAGGTGGAAAACTCTCTCTTAGATGTCCAGTACTGATAAAAGATTCTCTGGTGGTTTGAATTGTTGACCACCTCGGTAAAGATTTCGAGGAATTACAATCTACTTGTTCAGCCTGGCTTCTTGCAGCTTCAAATAGCCAGTTCCCAGAATTCAGTTCAGTCTCAGAAAAGGATGACTGGAATTCTCCCAGTGCAACAGCACTACAACAATCCATGATATTACTGCCTTTTTCCTGAAACTTAGTAAGTGGTGGAGTCGTTGGGAGAGACCTGGTTTGTTTAACCGACAGTAAGTGGGCTTTGGCAATATTAAAAGTATCAGAACTTGTAGGAGAAAGGTGAACTTCTCCCGTTTCATCTGTAATACTTATTTTGGGAAATATCTGAGTGTAGACAGGAAGAGTTGAACTAGTCTGAAATGGTTCCACATTTGAAGAGTTTAAGCTCAATAATGCTGAATGAGTGTGCTCTGTGGAGTCCTCCTGGATCATGCCTAGATTCTGAAAAGTAGGAGGAGAATTATTTCGGGGATTCTGACCAACTAGAGTTTGGAGGCGAGGGTAGATAGCCGAGAAGTGAGTAGGAGAGTCGGGATAAGGACCGGTAGGAGACGCGGTATGTTGCTGAGGTGACGAGACACCACAAATCCTAGAGTACGGTGGAGACATCCTTTCTGTACCCGTTTCCACACTGTTTCCTACAGATGGTGGGGGTGATGGGCTAGCACAATGAGGACCTCCAAATCCTACAGGGCTGCCTCGACGCTGAAGATGAAGTCGTTGCAGATGCTGCGAGAGAGAAGCTTGAGAATTTGAGCCACTACACGACGTCTGGTGAATGGGGGAACCTGCGATCGAAGGAGGTGAAGAAGTAGAAGTGGTGGCTAAATGAGGGTGGAGGTAGGACATCTGTTGGATGTGAAGCGAATGTCGTCTTTGCATCTCGGCTTGTAACTGGCTATCTGTTGGTCCAGTGTTTCTCTGAAAGGAAAACATAATCATATCTTTACAATACATTCGTTTAGTCACAAAATAATTGACTTTCTAGCAGCAATTTTCAAGATACCATGATAAAAGAAACACCGAAAGAACGTAAAACACCGCACTAATGTACTTTAAACTTTAACATAGGTCACAAAATAATTGACTTTCTAGCAGCAATTTTCAAGATACCATGATAAAAGAAACACCGAAAGAACGTAAAACACCGCACTAATGTACTTTACACTTTAACATAGGTCACAAAATAATTGACTTTCTAGCAGCAATCTTCAAGATACCATGATAAAAGAAACACCGAAAGAACGTAAAACACCGCACTAATGTACTTTAAACTTTAGGACAAGTCTAATTAAGGTACACCAATACTAGAGAACATAATGCTATGGCCATTATCAAGTTTGAAATTGAACAAAAATAACTCTACTAAATAAATATGATGAACAAGTTGGTCCAGTGTCAATAAAACTGAGAAATAACAATAAACAGTAAAAGGAAAGGCTAATGTATTTAACCAAAAGAATATATTTAGTATTCAAGCTTAGTTACGTCAGTGGTAGAGTTACTTTGAAGAAACCCACTTTTAAAATACATACATAAGTAAATTAAGGAGGCATTTAGTGTGACCCGTTAGTTTTTTAAAACTTGTCTAAGTATAGAAATATAATTTAATGTAAGAGTAAAACAGTGTAAACTTGGTTTTAGTTTTAAGCTAGCCTCTCCACTGTTTAGGGTTGTCTTTGATTTCCCTCAGTTGAAATGATAGATTAAACAACACCCACTACAAACTCTTCAGTCACTTTCATCTGACTGAAGAGTGCAACTCGACCACCACCCTCATAACATACCTACTGGCACAAAGTGTTGAGTAGTTGTTTGCACTAATAGAATGAAAACGATGGACCTACAGATCAAAAGTATGACATGCTAACTACTGCCATTCCTAGTAAGGGTAGTGGTTGGTGGCTTACATAATCAGTTAGGC